ATGGTAAAGGAATTATGATCCAGGAGTCTTAGGTGCTACACCCTGTATAAACCTTATATATAAAAGAAATAAAGACCTGTTATGTATTTAATTTGGGTAGATTTATGACCAAGAAAAATTGCTAACCTTGTACTTAGTTAAAGCGCCAATATTAAATATATCATCAAAATCGATACGTTTCCTGAATTACAGCTTTAAATCAGTATGTGCGGTCAAATGCAGGTCGTCTGCTTTATTTATGATGCAAGCGTTATAGGTTACACTTTAAATAAAATAAACAATTCCATGTAATCTGAAAATTCTAATCTAAATCAATATAATTGAACTAATATTCTAATGTAAAATTGAATTATAATGTACCCCAAAATCTTACGGGCAAACTAGTAGATAACGAATTGTTCAGAGAACCGCAACCTTAGTTCAGTTTATTAAATATACATAGAATGTATTATTATACGGCAATTGATGCAACTTTTGTTTTTCAAATCCAATGTCTGTGTTTTTTGCGATATTTGAAAAGGGGAATCAATTTGCTGTAAGACAACATAAAATATGCATATGGCTGATATAAAAGAAATAGAGAAATTCGTTATTCGATATTTAGAAAACTTATGAAATCTAGCATGCCGTGCGCTGTCAGGATGCGCGGTGGCCGGTGCCTGTTGCATTACATGGGGAGATCGTATTGCGCAAAAGTAAAGCTTCAAAACGAAACATTGAACAACTTATTGTAGGTATTTTCTGTATGATATGGCACATGAAATGCTAGATTATATAAATTTTCTAAATATTGCATGACGAATAGTAGGTAAGTAGTAGTGGTTTGTGAAATAGTTACTATGGTTTTTATGTTCAATAATAATAAATCTGTATCTGTCATATATAAAAAGAGGTGTATGTTCTTTCCAATTCGAAGTACCTATATGTTACTACAAATACTCATCGCTATAGAAAGTCACTTCGGCTATAGAATTCCCAAAGTAATTAACTTAAGGGTTCCAAATTTTCAGGATTATAACTGATTAGCAATTACTTCATATTTATATGTACCCATCAAAAATCTTAAAAAGAAACTCGACTAAATTGCAAATGGATTTTTTTTTTCAATTTTGAAAATCTAATTGCAGATTCGAACATTTTTATGTTGACCATATTTTTTTGCTCGCTCCCGCTTGCAGAGGGTACGCCATCTTGCAATGTTGAAAACCAGACCAGAGAAAAAATAAAATGAAAAAAGAAAAGCAATTTAGGGACTTTTATAGCTTCCAAACGAAACATTTGCGACGGTCGGTTTATTTTAAGTGTTTTCGTCGCCTCTACATCCGCATTTTTTAGCAGAACTCGCAGGTACCTACAGTCTGAAAGACGGTTAAATTGACAAAATGGTGTCTTTTTTTTCTACTGAATCCAAATATGCAATTAATTAACTACAACGCATTTTTCGACAACAAAAATGTGACTTTTTAAAAATATGGAACACCCTGTATATTGATGCGCCATTGTCCGAATACTTCAAATCTCAGAGTAAGAATTATTTCTTACTCTGAGCTTCAAATCACCATCTCACTACATTGTGGTGTTTTGGCTATGGTAGATCGAAACGGGATGGATGGGAGACCATAAACCAGTCCCATGAAATATACTTGACTATCGGCCCACTTTAGCGGGTGGGGGAGGGGGTACTCAATGCACCCTAATTGCAAACATGAATGCTTTTTGATAATTATTTCCCAACAACATAAATGCTTTTAGATTATTGTTACACAATCTGTTCCTTAATCGCAATTATACATTTCAGAATTGCGAAAGAATAAGAATCAATTAATTAATGTATAAGTCTAATCATTGATTAATTTATAACAGTAATTATAAGAGCGAACTATTCATTACTACGGCGTTGAAATTGGAACTGATTGAAACGCAATTCGATTTGCTTATATAGCAAACGCCGGTCTTTCTGGACGCTTCCGGGTATTCTAGAATGTTCTTTAACAAACACGTCGTATTTCCCGAAAAGATTGCGTCACATCTGTCTTCGTTCTTTATCGCCGATTCTTCTTCTTTCTTGGCGCCTAGGAATTTCTGGAATATTCGCAAAAATGTTTCTTGATATAAATTCCACTAGTAATCGCACTATAGCAGCATCGAAAACAGTTTTGACAACTACCTACCACAAACGGCATTTAAAAAAAAATCATCTCCATTTTGTTTTTCATCTGCATCGTTCGGAAGCAATGCGGTGGGCGGTCGACAATTTTTATACATTTTTTTAAGAAATCTCAATTGTGGTTGCCCCCGACAGGATCTTAAAATTTCTTCTCGTAATCGAACAGATTTGGCATTTTTCCCAACGTTTTTCCAGTAGATTATTAGGCAATACTTCATTTTTAATATCAGGGAAATTATGTGAATTTAAAAAGGAAAGATCCATACAGAAATCTGTATACTTTGTGAAAATCTACCTTTAATCGATTCAATGGCTTGATTTTAAAAGCCTTAACATAGAAATTCTCAATTTGCTTCCAATTTACTCATTTAAATATCCTTATTAGTTATTTCATTTTTAGCGCATCTAAAAGGTTTTAACCTCACTTGAGCCGACTGGCTAGCTGGCTGGCAGCAAATGCGGGTCTGTAGAAAAACGGTTGGAGGAAGACAAGGAGTGCTACCGGCGCCGTCGTGTAATTAACAAGTTACTACATGTTGCGGTTGGCGACATCTGGGAGCCATCCCGAAGCGTGTTGTACTAACGTGGTTATTTTTCTTTCTTCTACAGTTTTGGTCCGATTGTGCTCACCTAAAAGTTTCCTAAGTGCTCGGATCGCGACCTCTCTTACTCGTGTCGCCAATAGAAGCTGGAGCTATGAGAAGTGCCCCTAAAACTGAGTACTATTTTGTGGAGGGTTTTTAGCAAAATCCGCCAAATTGCGAATTGCGGGAGGGAGGAGGTGGGTACCGACAAAGGGAATGTGGTTCAACAAGATTTTATTGATGGACACAAGCATTTTTTATTTGTACCGTCACCTTCGAATATTAATTAAATTAATTCCTTGCATGTGGCGGCGTAGCCTGGCTCTATCTCTGTTTTGTGTGTTCATTTGAGTGATGCTACCAGCCGCAAAGCGCTCATCGATCCTACCAACCCACCGGGAAAGTTCCCGGTATCCCGCCAGCCCCATCCACCTCTGGATCAAAATGAAAAATCTTGGTTATTTGAAGTATTTTAACTATGGTGCATTAAGAACTTTTGTAGGGGATTTAATAATTAAATAGAATAAAATTTAACACATATACGAGCCCTAACACATAAATGTTCGGACACTCAAAGTTTTAAAAATGTTGTAACTTACCTAAAATCATTGTATGTTTATTTATTTTTTTTTCTTACTATAGTTATTAAGTAAACATATTTAGTAACTGTAATTTTATATAACTGTATTTATGTAACTTTTGATATAACTGTCAAATAACACAAAACACCATAAAATTAGAATTTAAAGTGACACAGAAATGTTCGGACCCACCCAATGAGTTACATCCCCTTTGGCTTTAATAACAGCTTGGATTCGTGTAGGCATGGTCGTCACAAGAGCTTTACATTGATCGATACCAAAGGTATCCCAAATCTCTTGTAACTTTTCACTCAAAGAAGCAATATTGCGTTGCGGATGAATACGTAAACGTTGCTTCATTTTGTCACACTGTCTCAATGACATTGAGATCTGGACTGCTTAAGGGCACCTCTAAAACACTATTATTGTGGTCTTGTAACCATTTCTTAGTCGTTTTTTCCTGTGACATGATGCTCCGTCTTGTTGAAAAACAAAGTCTGCATCAGGTGATAATGTCGCAAGTGAAGGCAATCAACTTTGTTCTAAAATTGCTTGATATTTCTGAGCATAAACATTACCATTTGTAAGTGCAATTGTCCCAGCCCATTTGCAGACATACTTCCCCACACCGTTATATACCACTGGGGAATTTTACAGAACGCTTTTAATCTTTGTGACATGCTTTGTTTTCCGTTCCGATAACTCTTTCTCGATTATCGCCTACATTGACATCAAATCGAGATTCATTACTAAAAATGATTTTTTTCCAGTCTTGGTAAGATCCCGCCTGCCGTTCCCGAACCCAAGCCAACCTCTTCTTTATTATTTTTGTGTTTTAAAAATGTTTTTCTTTCGCCTATTTAAAAAAGTATTTTCTAATGCTCAATAATTTTAACCTAAAGATCAACTTACTTTATAAAAATGTAAACCCATTTTACTATTAATTGTCGAATTTCTTTCCGTGTCGCTTTGCCATGTGCCATTTTTCTTTTAACAAAATATCAAAGTGTGCTGACAAGTTATAAAAATTATAATTTTTTTTGTTTTTATCCTGTTACGTAGATCAAACTATCAAATATATGTGGTGTCCGAACATTTATGTGTCAGTTAATTTCGCTGGTCTTCCCATTTTCATCTTGTGAGAGCATTAAAAAAATTGTTTTTTGGTATTAAACATAAACAATAAACTTATAATATATATATATATAAGATATTTGCGGCTTTATTGACATTGGACTGGTTTTATTTTTTTTCGGTTTTATTTTAAAAATGCTAGATGTCCGAACATTTATGTGTTAGGGCTCGTAATTACTTCATACCTATCAGTTATCCTTATCACAGTCCAACAATGATAATCACACCTGACACTTAACAAGATTTTTGAGATTAATGTAAAATGTTTATTTCTCATCAGTCATCTGTACAAAACAATTTACAATGTTCCCAGCAATAATATTTGATTCCTATTAAGAAAAACGCACCTAAAACTACGCTTAGTCGGCTTAATTAACAATAACTCAATAAAAGTAGCACCTCTTCTACTTTATTACTGTAATTATACACTATGTTTTACAAAGAAATATCTATTTGGGATCATGAGGCAATTTAAAACCTACAATATTTGCAGTTTCCTTCACAGAACGTTCTCCTTTCCCATGATACTGATTGTGTATTTCTTGTTGGATTCGGCTGCTGCGTAAGTAGCACAAATAAGTATTGGCAGCAAAAAGGACTTCATCTTTCGCTTTACAAATTTGTTGATCGGTCATGTTGAAGAGACGGTACTGATCGAACAAGTAGCGAATTGCTAAATTATCCTTCAGGTTTCCTTGCGGAATAGCGCGCCGTAGTTCGTGAATGATTTGTCTGAGGGTTTTAATGCTATTAGCATACATCTTTCAAAAATATCAATCAGATAATCTTCGTATATCTAAGAACAAAATCATTCATTAGAATTAGATATTATGCAAGCGCTATGTACTTTGTTTTTTACAAATTCGAGGTCTTCGTCAGTGTATACTGGTTCGATATGATACTGCCATAAATCTTGAGATATTAGGCTTAAATTTTCTAAAGCAAAAATATGTATTGCCAGATCATTAAAAATATCATAATATTTAAAGGAATTTATAATAGGTAATTCAGTGACAAAGGGAGATATATTCAGAATGTAATCTGCATTTTTTTCGATATGCCGTTTAGAATTAGATTCAATTACGTTAGTAAAGCTATTCGAAATTATAACGCAATAATTTAAAACCATGCCCCAATTTGCCCATAGTAAATTATTGGTCAATTGTTTGGGGCAATGAGGTAGATAAAATAACGTAGCACTTTTCTCTGACAATTTATACTTGCCTTCGATATTGCCGTGTAATACACTAATTCCTAAGCTTTTCAGAATTTCACTATCATTATCAGTGAATATGGGGTCATATGCGACTACTTTAGCATTATATAAATCTTTTATGAGCAATAATAGAGCTAGTTGGTATCTCGCAATCATACACTCACCGATTCTACCTAAACCAAAGCACACAATTTCTTTTATTTTTATTATGTTTATAATTTGAAAACTCTCCCGCAAAGATGCCAAAACGGATGAATATAAATCGGATGGGATTAGTTCCTGTTTTGCTGCTTCTATTCTTCTAAAATTATGTAATGCAATTGAGCTGGTTGGTCACATGCCAAATGTAAATATTACCTTAAATAATTTTCCAAATTGAAAGTTACGGAAGATAGAGGCTCGTTAATCGTGGCTATTAATGTATCAACAACAACAGTACGTTTAATTTTTGACTTTTTATAACTAACCACTCGAAATTCTTCCGCGTTGAGGTTAGTTTTAGACATGGCAACTGGCAATTTCAAATGACCTAAAAAAAGTTAGCTAGATATCCTTTTGTAATTAGTACACAAGTTCGTCCACTAGATGACTATAGCATCTATTTATGTACAGGGTCATATACTCAGTTTAATAGTTAGATTAGTTACTGTACCGGTAGGCGTAAATACATTGTTTACTAGCTTACTACGGTAAAGACAGCTTCGTCTCTGTACCGCAATAAACAGTTGCTGAAATTACCCACAAATCTCATCTACATTGTTTACTGTGGTGCAGACGATGACACTACGTAATAAATATAATCATTGAATAAAAACACTATAAGAAGCCTAACCCCGTGGAAATAAAGCGCGACAGAGTTTGAACTGAGAATATAATGGGAACACTGTCAATAGAGTCGATTCTTGAACTGAGAAGAATGAGAATTTGCTTTCCTCCTATTTACCGCAAAGAGAGTTCGGTGGTCACAACCAATGCGGGTGCAAGGGGATTTGTCGCGCTTTCTTCCATAAGCGTTAAGGCTTCTTATAGTGTTTTTATTCAATGATATAATGTATCAAAATCAACTATCGGCGATTTCATATCTCTTCTTACCACAGCAATTGAATAATTACATATAATATCAAGGTAGAGAAGTCCACTATTATTGCTGAGCACCAAGATTACATCTCACAATCTCACAAACAGTATTGAAAATGGATTACTAACAATTATTTGAAACATAATATTCCTTGCCGCGTTCACTTATTCTTGAAATCGCGCTATTTACTTCAGCTGCTGAAAAAAAGGAAACAGAAACCATTTCTTAAAATTCCTTCTGAAGAACATTTTTGTGTCCTTTGGCCACAATTCATTCGATATATGTGATACAATTATAGTAATAACAAAAAAGTTTCTCGCATGTTGAATTTTTCTCTGCGCGGATAATAAATTCGCGATTTTGTAGGGCCTGTTAAAACTATACAATATATCAGATTAGGCATCATATACGCATAATTGGAGGCGCATATCAATTCTAGTTTTAAGACACCGAAAGGTGATATAGTTCCTAGAAAAAGAAATATGATGATGTAAAGATAGAAAAACGCGGAATTTTACTAACATCGTTTTATCTTCAATACTTTAAACCTAAAAATTAATTATTTTTAGTGTTATTAAAAATTAACGAACACCATAATTTGATTGTGTGTACTATTGACAAGCTCTCATTGAAATTTCGTGCTCTAATGTTGAACGGATCCGGAGTAAAAAAATAATAGTGGAGCGCGCACGGATTTTCCATAAGCCGTAATGTATTTCATATGACTCCTAACGTCACGTGACTTTTTCGAGCGCTCCGGCCTGTAAGTATCGTAGGCCTCGCGTCCCGGCGTTGAAGAACTCAGATATTAAAAAAGCGTTTTTTCACTACTAGCGTCCACTTGGTAAAGTAGGCTTTCTCGGCATTTGTTCAAAGTGGTTAATAATGTGGACATTATAAACTAGTAGTCAATAATGAGAACTGTCACGGTCACTTTTAGAAAACACAAACCCGAAAATTCGCTCAATAAACGTTTAGACCAGTTCTCTAAAATGAATAATTGCCACCATCCGCCATCTCAATGACAGAACAAAATACGGCCTGTTTTGACTTGTACTTCTACGTACTTGATTGACATGTTAAATTAATAAACAAACCAGGTGTCAAATTCTTGACAGAATAGCTTCCTAGCTGAAACAAAAATTGCCAACATATGTACGCACTTACCCATTTCCCACAGTTTTACTGAACTCCATATTTGCCACTTCTTATTTGTGGAGATATTTTTTGAAATTTTAACCACAGATGCTTCTAGTAATGGCAACATATCGCAAATCGTAAAAATCAGGTGTGCATATG